AAAGCGAGGTGGGTGCACCGGATTGAGAGCCACGGCCGGCTGTAGCGTCACAGCAGCGGTGGTGAGGCTGGACTGCATACACCGCCTCCCTCCTCCACTCTCACTGTGCTGCCGCTGCTGCTGCTGTCTGTCTCTCGTTGGACTTACTGGACTTGAGGATGTTCGCATTTTATTCTGCTTTATTTTTTCGTGCTTTAGTGCGAGGGCGTTTCGGACAAACATCATGGACGACCCAGCTCTCCTTTGCTCCTGATTTGAGTCATCACTGGATTGATCAAGTGTGATGAGTAATGTAGTGGGCTTAGCTTTATGGCTCAATGAGTGTCAGAAAGAAGTCCTTACAATATCCCAGCAGGGCTGTCAGGACGAGGTGTTGTGACAAAAAAGTCATTTTTGGTGTTCTGTTGTTTTTTAGTGGAAGTGGTTTTTGGTTTGGTTTTTAAAACCGTTAAAGGCCCTGGAAAATTTTTTAAAATTTGGGGGTAAAAAGCCGGAAACAAACCAAATTTTGAAGGTGTTATACACATTTGAGTCAAATAAGTGATGCCCAACCCAGCAGGAATTCTGGCTCCAGCAGATTGGAAGGTTGGTGAGAAGGTGACAGCTGTTGGTGTGATTATTTGGAAATGGAAGAAACATATAAATGATCCAGAGAAGGTTTAGGAGAAAGTCAAATGAAACCACAATCAAGCTGTTTGGCATCTGCTCGATCCTCCGTGTTGTTTATGACCCAAAGAGCAGCATCCCCACATCAAGCACAGAGGTGGAAACATTCTGCTGTATGGCTGTTTGTCTGCTAAGGTTACAGAGCGACTTTGTTACATTGAGGGGACAAAGGACGGAGCCATGTACAACAGTGTTCATTTTACTGACCAATAATTTTGATCAGTTTTTATCAATGACCTTTTCTTCTGATAAAAACAAGACGATAACTAAATAAAAACAAATGCACCAGCACAAAAACTGGGATGGAAATGTACTGACATTTGTGTCAATGAATAAAAACAAGATGAAACTTTTCTGGAGAGATGAAATCCAATCAGAACTAATTAAGTAGTGTACAAAAGCGGGATGAGTGTGAAAGTGATCTGGTCAGAGGTAATCTCCAGGTTAGGTGCGCACATGTTATCTGTGCCTGAAAAGCAGAATCGGGGGGGGGCTAACTACCTGGACTAAAAGTAAAAGATTGAACTTAATCAAATTTTGTTGTCAAAATTAGCACCGATGTACCATAGACCTTTGGTCGAGAGCCTGCTTCCCTCAGTCACAACACTGACGATGGGTCATAGATGGGCCTTCCAGCACGACAGTGACCCAAAACATACCACTGAGGAAACAAAGGAGTACGTTAAGAAGAAGCACATTAAGGTCATGGAGTGGCCTACCAAGTCTCCAGACCAGCCAAGAAACCTAAAAGACTTTGAAAGCTTCTGTAAAGAGAAGTGGGCTAAAATCCCTCCTGAGATGTGCACAAACCTGATGAGCAACTACAAGAAACATCTTATAGCTGTACTCACTAACAAGGGTTTCTCCATCTTGTGCTAAATCATGTTTTGCTTGGGGATCAAATACCTATTTCTCTCACTCATGTTTTTTTATCCTGTATTTTGGTCGGCTGTCTCTTTAAAAGCAGATTTTTTTTTTATCTTAATGAGACGTTTTCAAGGCTATATAAAAATTACTGACTGCAGCTTCTACCTTGTGTCTCAAAATGGCTTGATATCATTCAAGAGAGATATGTTTGAGAGGTTACAGGTCAGCAAGTCATTTACATCAGTTTAAATACCAGCAATCACTTTTTGGCAAAGCCTGTAGAGGATCTTGTTTGTCGGTCTATGTCACAGCATCTGACTACATTAAATCCTTCATAGATATTTTGAAAAGATAAGTCAGCATGTGTGATAATATCTCTCAAACATGAAAAGTGAAGTGGGCAAAACTGAAGCAAGGTCAAAGTGAATTCCCATAAAGCAACTCATTAGTGTGTGTAATTGAGCCCTCCATCATTTGCGGGGTAACTATGTTGGTGTTGCACTCTTTTGTGCTAAAACCGAACATAACCCTGATGACATGATCAAAGTTGTTTTCACTGACTTTAGAAATCTCCTCTGGGAGCCACAGACAAGATGCAACTGTTTTCTCAGCCCGTTTAGCGCCTCCCATAACAATTACGCTGAGTTTCACATGAGAAATCTGTATCGTGTGGCCTTAAATTTTTAAACATTCTCGTGTTGATGCAATCTGAGCTAAAATGACAGTAACTCTTTGACTCTTTGAAGCACGAAGGCAGCACACTCTCAGGATGAAATGAGGAAAATATAAGAGATTTTTTATGTGGAAAATGTGCGAGCTGGAAATGCCTCATATTGTGCTGGAAACTAAAATGCATTTCTCTCTGCAAAGCTTTTTCATTCAAAAAGAAATCCAATCCAAAAGTAAAGAAATAAATAAAAAAGAAGTAAAAGCACACACGAGCACATGGACACTGGTTCAAAACTGAAGCGGATGTGATCTAATGGCATGAATAATGATGTGAAATTGAAAGATTTAAACTCAAAGAAACAATTTTTTGGATAAATGTGCTGAATAGTGCTGTGAGCACCAACTTTAAAACACCAAATTATAGAATATAGAATAAATTACAATCATAACTTTGCAGTTCACTTCTCATACTCCCCCCTCTAACACACTTTATTCTACGCCTATAGATTTAGGCAGCAGACTAGTAGACCCGAGCAGGGTCTAATAACAGCCTGAATAGGCTCCGGTGCCGCTGCGACCCTGAATCAGGCAAGTGGTTAAGAAAACAGACAAATGGATGGATTGAGGGAGAATATGCATTGCCTGCAAGTGCATTTTGCATGAAAACTTGCTGCCAAACATTTCCACAAGAAGTATTTTATAGTTCTGCTCTGTGCTAATGAACACTACAGCAGATCCCCTTTAAGTATTTGTAACCACTCCTCTTATGAGTCATAAAACTGTGGTGTGTCTAAACAGATGGGTGGAAATAAAAAGAAACAATAAAACAAAAAAGAAGACAAAGTGGCTTAGTAAGGTGTCGGGCCACCGCGTGCTGCCAGAACAGTTTCAAATCTCTGGAGCTCAGTTGGAGGGATGGGTCATTGTCCTACCAAACACACTGATCCAAAGGCCACAGCTCATGATTCATGCCATTCTCATACTAATGAATATGGGCATTGTCATTCAGTAAGAGAGCATTCCTACAAGGATAGAAATGTTTCTTGATGTGATGTTTTAACATGCTTTGGAGTGACCTTTTCCTCTAAAGGCAGAAGTGGACTTGGGGAAAAAAAGTTAACTACTAGGACTGTACTGACTATATTTTAAGTAGTGTTTAATTTCTTCAATTATAAAATACAGAAAAATGCACAGATTTCTGTTAGGTAAAGTAACACAGGCTCATTGCCATTCCTCTGTGCAGATTAATCAACGGTCACACACAAAGGCCTATTTGAGACAGAAAACCCCGCACAAGTGTTCATGTTTTTCCTATAATTTGTCATCCATCTGTGCATGTGTGTGTCTCAAGAGAGCTAGTATCCACCTCTAAACGCTCACACGAGAAGACTTGCTACACATTCAGATCATTTCCTTTTCCCACATGTGCGGTGTAATTATACTGCAAGCAGTCATCTCTCTGGGCTTTCACTGGAAGGCTTTTCAGAGGTGCTACATACTGGCAGTGAAATCTACTGCCCTGACAGATGTGCTGCCAAGTGGGCCTCACACCTAAACGATAACCACTGTTCCAGGGATTCACTGCTTCAAAAAAAAAACAAAAAAAACCCCTTCATGTCTGCCAATATTTTTTTCTGTTTGGTTTCAGGACGTTTCAAACTTTTTTTTAAGCCAAACCAAAGAGTCTTTTCTAAACTGCTACTTGCATTGATAGAAAGTTTTACCACCAAATGGCGGGTTGCTAATAAATTCTTGAAATTGTGGCTCTCACATTAAAAAATTGAACCAGTCTCAGGTCATCCTGAATAAAAAACATCACAACTTCCTGTGGGGACTAGTTTGACTGGCTGACAGTCCTGCAAAAGGCTGCAGCTTATTGGCTATTGGCAAGGCAACTGGTTCAAAGCGCTGGGCCACAGGCACCAAAATGAACCAGGCCCTCAGAGACCACTGTGGCATTTTACCTAAAAGCACACGCACAGAAACACACACGTTCACAAAAAACAATTGTTCATGCTCTTCGTGTTCATATGCACCGTGGGCTTCCAACTCGGCCTTGCATTATAACCTTGAGAGCAATATGTGTCACTGGCATCATTATATCAAGGACCTGGCATTCATAAACGGGCAGAGGTATTGTGTGTATTGTGGTCCTGACAGCAGAGAAACTGGGTGCTCTGCAGCCCCAAGCACCAGCACACTGACCCACATCTCTCCATTTCTACAGGAGTTTTTAGAAATCTATCACCTGTGCACGGAGGCCAGTGTGGCACCAGCATACAGGAGGAAAAAAAACCCACAGACAGATTGATGTGTTTCTTACCCACTGATCCTCGGTGTCTGCATGAGGTAAGACGCTCTTCCGTATTATATAAAAAGCCTGTCATTAGAATTAAATGACTGTTTAGGTGGTGTATACATACGGATCACTGGCAAAGTTGTTTTGTTATGGAACATTTGGCATAGATGTGTGATACAGCCACACTGCCACAAGCACCTTGAGTCATTCCTCTGCAACATGAAGATGTGCAACCACCTGTGCCCCTTCAGTTTTGTGTGCCAAGTTTCTCAGTTGTCTTTCATTCCTGTTGGCTGATACAGCTGATAGAGAATAAGAAAACTGAGAAGAAATAAAGACAAAACGAAACCTGAACACCAGCAAATACACCAAAGCCCAGTTAGACCTTCAGTTAGAATTTGCCCTTGACCCTGGAATGAGCAAACTTTGGAACATTTTGTGACATTTGATACTTTAAAAAAAAGACAGAAAAGAGACACTAATCCAGCTGTGCACTCACGTTTTTTCCCTGGGCTGCTGTCTTCCTCTCTCCCTTTTTCCCCCCTGCTCTCCGGGCTACGTATTCAAAACCGTCAGCTCTGTCCTTCCATTGCGCCTTAGCAGGATTTTGACAGAAATAAAGTGGCGCACAGCCACAGGTTGTAGCGCTCACTCAGTCGATGAGGCGATCTGATTGCAGATGACTCCCGAAAATCGCACTTTACTCCCAGGAAGGGAAATCTCAGTAGATCCCAGAGAATGGCCTGTTGCTGGTGCGCATTCCATACAGCGCCGCGCCAAAGTTGTCAGCACCGCGCGTAATTACCGGCTTTGCGCCTTCAGAACGGCGCACAGAGGAGCAGCCAGCTGTTGGCTGAATCTGGAGACCATGAGCAACAGCAGCCGGCCGCCTGAGAGCGCGGCTGCACAAGTCAAAGAAACTCTATGATAAGATGCTACAGCCTCCTCATCTGCGCCTGCTGAGGTGGGAGGGAGACAGCGGGGTACCGGGTGTCGTGTCCGTGATGCAATGCGGGTACCGTCAATGTTACAGACCGCAGTTTTCTCCTCGTGTGCAGAAATCCAGGCGCTCCGCTCATCATATGCGGATCGGCGTCGCGCATTCGTCTTAATTAACAGCGGCCGGGATCGACTGCAGAAACAGAGGGAAGCTTGGAGGGGGGAAACAGAACATAGACTGAGTGTTGATGCTCGGTCATGCTCTGCATCCCTCTCTCTCTTTCTCTCTCTCCCTCTCTGCTCGCATGTGGCACCACCACACGCGCGCGCAAACACTTTAAGGTCCCATATTAAGCGTCGTGCGTCTTAATCATGACACGCAAAAATAGCTCGGGTGCAGGAAGGTGAAGACAGCGGGGCTCAGTCAATGTCCAGACTGAGGTGGTAGGATGAGCGCGTGTGACTGAAAATGAGGATGAATGGTGCACTCCCCACGTTGTCTCCTGTCCATGTGTGTTGACAGCTAATGCGCCTCCTTTTAACCTTAACCCTCACATGGCAGCTGAACTGGAGCCTCACCGCTTCGTCCTCCAGCTGCGACCCAAAAGGTAGCGCAACCCGGTGGGTGATTGCATGCATCCGGGTGCAGACTGTTCACTTCTCCTTCTCTGTCATGTTTACAAGCTATTAAGCGATCCTCGAGTGGGTAATCACGTTGCCAGTGATGTCACCTTGTCCTGCCTGCAAAGACCGCAAGCCTGTTTAGAAGTTACAAGCTGTGTCTTTCTATAAGCTTTTGCTAAAAAAAAAAAATGAAACATTTGCAATCTGCTGGGCGTTTAGGGCGCCTCAAATTCTCTAAACACATTAAGTCACGCATGCATTATGTCATCACACACAGGTTATACACCCACGGTGCTTACACACACACCTGCTGGCGCCTTTAGCTCCCTAGGACAGTTTGGGGACGTTTATGTACCCTGGCTGTGACTTCTATTGGCCAGCGCTAACCTGGACGAAAAGTAAATATCTTTCAGGACAGCTGTGTCAATGGATTCTTTCACAATAATAGATCATTAACCTGTTTTCCAGCAACGATGCTGTTCCCCGAGTACTACGACAGCCAACTCAGAAGCAAAATAGTCTCGCTGATATCAATAAAATGCCACTTTCAGTTTATAACATTCTGTTGTGCTGCGCAGCAGAGAAGTTGGAGCACATCCTGCTCTCAGGCTAGATAACACTCGCACTTCCCACTACTGAATGAGAAGGTGGGAAATCAAGTGGTGAGAAGACAAACAGGACACCACAGAAGACTCTGGGCATTTTCCACATTTTCAATTTCTGGGCACATCTCTTAATGGAACAAATGTGGACTCATAACGAGAAGCCAAGCAGGGCATGGCTTTAAGCAGTGAGTACAAAAGGTTGACTTATGAGTCTTTTATTACAAACTTTATTGGGACGGCTCACTTTCAGCATGTATTTCTGACCTTATCCAGGACTTCTGCTGCTCTGTATGATAGCCTCTGAAGTGTGGGACAGTGAGACCAAGTCCACAGAGTTTGTGTGCAGTAGAGCAGCCAGAAAGGCTTTGAATATTGTGCCCGAGATGTCCAGTGCACTGGTAAGAATGTCACTGCCTTCCTCTCTGGCTTCAAGATCAATTTATTTTAAAGAAATGGGTTGTTTCACAACCTCCATCTGGATGCTGTATCTAATCCGCTGTTGTCTGTTGTTACCTGTAGTCAGCCTGTCCACCTGTCTGTCTTGTCTCTGTCACTTGTCTCTCCCGTGTCTCCTCCGTTGCAGAGTAATTGTAATGGCTCGGCAACCCTCTCCACACAGGTTCAGCTACCCTGCACTGAGCTTCACGCAGCATCTTGGGAACACAAATCGGTAATGCTGGCACACATATGAATCCATTCTCCACCGCAGCAGATTTGAGTAAAACATTTGGTAGCACTTTGTACAACAGCCCACAGCTTATGGTGTAATTTCCCAGTATTCACAGTGTGTTTTGTCTGAATTTAGGGTGTAATGTTCAGCACAATAGGCACAACAGAACAACTTGGTATCAAATTGGAGGATTTAAACTAATTAAGGAACAAATTGCACTGTGAGCATTTAGCAGTGAACACATTTTGGGTTATTATAAAGCAGGCCCAGATTACACTGTCAATATAATATGGAGAAAGATACCTTTGGGCTATTTTAGAGGAAAAGACAAACACTGCTTCCTCATTAAGGCTGTGGGCTGCATTATGTAATATCTTAACCTCCCCTTCTTATATTACTAATAGACATTTAGGGTTCATCATCAACTTTGGGTAATTTGGGAAACATTAGGATGCTGATATACCAACATTAAGCAAAATACTTAAAGTATAATTCGTTTATTCTTTCCTTTAAAACCTTTTTGTTCTAAGTATTTTTAGGTACTGAAAATTACTCCCTAAATCAAGAAAAATTACACGTAAAACGATCGAAAATTGCACCATAAGTCATGGGCTTTATTATGAAGTGCTGCCAAACATTTTATTACCTCTCCTCCCTTTTCTGAATGTGCATGTAACTGCAGGAGCGGGAGAAGAGAGGAGAGATAGTTGCATCTTTAAGGCTTCTTGTCGAGGGTGTGAAGTCTGAAAGGAGCCTCAGACCGGCAGGATGTGGCGCTTTGCTGCTGCAGAGACTGGAGAACAACATCAACAACTACCTGCTCATCCTCACCCGCCTTCAGCTGAGCGTAAGACGCACTCACAGTGACAAATTGCATGCAAACAAGCTCATAAGCACTCCCAGTAAGCACCGATTTGCCGTTCAGTGTAAGTGCAAATGGTAGACTAGCTGTAAATTTGGCCACAAAATTTCTGAATGTCTTGGATTCAGATATTTTCTTTAGGTAACGTAGAATTTCAGCTCCTTAGAAGCTTTCACTGTCAAACTAAAGCCTGCATGTCTTCTCACCTGCAAATCCAAAAGCTGACTGAGTGTCTCTGTCACTCAAGCACATCAGACACATTACGACACGTGTTGTGTTGATACAAGTTCGCACATCGTGAGGGAACACATGTAATGGGGTTCTCTACCACTGGTGTGCATGTGATACAGAGGCATTATCAGCTTCCTCTGGCGTGGAAATATCCTGGTTTCTCGTAAGTCTGTGAGTCTTTCTGGAATCTCCGTGCACTGGAAGCGATGATGTTATGCTGTGTGACCCGAGCTTTCCTTCCTCAGGACATGAAGAAGATAACAGCGCATACTTTGTTAGTGAGAAAGTTGTTCTCAGAAGTCATAAGGGCAAGACCACAAACTTAAGCTCAATGTGCGTGAGCACAGGTTTGCTGTTCACCCAAAAAGAAATTATATTTGACATGAATCTCATATTTTTAATCATCCAATCAGGTGTAAAGTGAATAAAAAAAATTAGTACAGCACTAACAAATATAGAAATAATTATTTTTAGTTGAAATAATAATAATATTTTGCTTTGTTTATGTCAAAGAAACGACAAAGCATGTCAAACCTTTGACAGTCTTCTTGTTAGATGTAAAAGGCTGACAGTGTATTGTCGTCACCCTGCTAGGCTGGCAGTGTGGTAACCCAAGGTTGTGAATGCGATAACTCATGAATGAGGCGACGATTTTTGAGACGAGGATTTTGAGATTGGTGTATCTGCTAGAAATCTCCAAGTAGTCTGAATCCCAGTGACATTGACCTCAAAGTCAAAGTCAGTCGTTCAACTTTCCTGAAAATCATCTGCGATTTTTCCAATTTATATCATAAGTGCTAGCAGGCTGAGGAGTAGCACTGCTAGTATTTTAAATTTTCAGCGTGTTCAAGCCTCATAAAGTGCTTCTCACAAGTGTGCTGCCCGCTCAATCAGGATACTTGCTACCTGCTTCTTCTTTAAATAGTTTGGATCTAGTGCTCGGTCCTGTCATAGGAGCAACCTGGCTCCAACTATGCAGCATCCAGAGGACCGATAGGACTGATAGCCTTCCTTATTCAAGATTCCTTTGATCCTGTACAAATCTCCCATTTTATCATCGTATTTGTGAGCCCGTCTTTACCTTTTAGTGGACAGTCTTAGTTGGGTGTTATTTTTTAATTTACAGCTCTGCCTCCAAGACCATTATCTGGATGCTAATCTAATCTAATTTTCATTTTTATGCTGTTTAGAGTCAGTTTGTGCTTTTCTATAAAGCAAGTGGTAAACACTTTTGGTCCATTTTACAATTATAATCATCCATAAAAAAGATGGATGCTCCAGATAATGAACTAACTAAATTAAAGTTTAATTAAACAGCAGGGAAAAAAATCAGCTGTGCTACTACAATACAAAAATAGTTATCAAATAGGAAATAAAAGATATTTTTAACTATAATATTCGGTAATATAGAATGTGGTATTAAAACACACCGAGGCTCATTAATGACAGCCATTAAACCACCTACTGTCAATAATAGCCCAGTTCAACAACAATCTCATTTCCAGGTGACTCCGAACATTTTCACAGGCTTCATGCTCTTCCCTATTTCCATTTTAAAAACTACACATCATTGCTGTGTTTCCTATTTCAACCACCAGGGGGCAGTGGTGACTCCATCGCTGTCTTGTGTTCCTCGAAGCACTCAGAGTCTGAGAACAGTCCTGATGAGTTACAACCTGCTGATCTCAGCCAAGCTGGAGTGGTTCATGGTTGGCCTGGAGCACAAGTGCACCAATTCCCGGTGACACGGGAGCAGCTTTTCACTAGTGCAGCTGGGGGTCGCTCACGAAGGAGGTCCATCAAAGCAAAAACTGGATTGATCTACATTTTTTTCCGTCACCTTTTCGCAGAAGTCACTGTTATGGATGTTCTGTTTTTCATAGCCAGAAGAGAGTGAATACTTCACTATCTGTCGGTCATTAAGATAAAGCAAAGCCAGGGTAATATGAATATAAGAAAAATGAATGTATGATATTGAGGCGTTTTATGTTTGTTTGTTTTAGTTTTATCTTTGTATCATTCTGCAGGACAGTGGAGATGCTTTAAATACGACTGTAAGCATGTAGATCCTACAACAGGCTAAAATCTGCCATGTAGCGTTTTTATGATGCCTTCAGACAACATCTGTATTATCTAAATCCTGGTTCCAGATGTTTTTCAGCTTAATAATGTAAACAGAATGAGACTTATTCCAACATATTTGTTGCTCTTCAGCCCTGCTAATACTGCAATATCTTTTTAGGAGAAAGCAAATGTGTTTTTCTCTTTGCACTTTTAAATCTTATCTTGTTTACCCTTTGAATAAGAGCATTGCTAAAGAAGTATGCTGCTATTATTATTAGCATTATTATTATTAATATGATTATTATTTGCTTTTCTAGTACAAGAAATCTCCGTATTGTTGGAAAATTTCTCGATAGAATTCATATATTTTGCATTTAAAGATACATTATTCAAAATAATTGTGATACAGGACTTTTATAATATAGACGAAAGACAGAAAGACTGTTTTTTGTTTTTCACTAATCATTTAATTTATTTTAATTGATTGCTGTCTAATAAAAACAAAAAAGAAGCTAATTATAAGGAGACGAGACTGGACATTATAGGACGAGCCCTTGCAGGAAGCAACGTCATTTTTGTCTCCAATTAGCAAATTACCTGCCCAAGGTGAAGGGCTCGTGCAGGTGAGGCGTGGAGGTAAATGGCGGCTCTCGACGTGGATGGCACGTTTCACCATAACAACAATATAGAACTGATCTTTTATTTAAATAAAGTTGCACTTACCAGTTATTATTGATAATCTACGATGTCAGAAAAAACGCCTTTATTACACTACCGACTGACCACTAGCGGCGAGCCGTCTGATGGATCTAAACGCACCGGGGTCGGAGGAGGGGTACACCCCGGACGATCCAAGGATCGGGCGCCTCAGAAGCTCGGGGTGCTGTTTGGAGTCGTCATTCCAACTTTACTGTCCATGTTCAGCGTTGTTGTGTTCTTGCGGATTGGTGAGTATCAGCAGGAGATCTTAAAAAGACTGAAAAGTAAAGTCTCTACCTCAACAAAAATGAGTCCTGACACGTGTTCAGTGGATTATTTGTAGCCAAATAAGTGGTTTTCAATCATTCACGTCCGACTCCAGAATATGGAGATATTTTACTCCCCACACCCATTTTTTCCCCATCAGTTATGGACAATTAAAAATGAGTTGAACTTGATACTGACGATTAGTTCACTAATATCACCGGTTAACTCTTATTTCCTCATTTTTCTCTGGACATCAACGCCTCACCTGTGCTATGGCCCTCTGTGAGGATCCACAGGTGCAAACTAGGGAATTGATTTGGTTTGGTTCTCGGCTTGTTCTCCTTTAGAAACTTTATAAAACAAAAAACTCCCATAAAGTTGTTTTATGAAACAACTTTATAAAATACCAAACGCCTCTAGGGGTTTAAACCTGAGGCATTTCACTAAAATAGCCTGGGCCTCAAGATTTTATAGGTCATCCAACTAATCATCTAGATGGTGTTTTTAATGGATATCCAGGGGAGATGTGGGCTGATTAAACTTAACCTTGTGCTAATGGCCATACCCTTCCTTGTCTCGCCTGCTCATTCATCTGCTTTTACAAATGCCTGGACCTTTTTTTAAAGCAGCTGTCTGAAGACCCCTGTGTGTTATTATGATATATGATACACCTTTTATACAAAACAAGAAAACACAAATGTTTTTGAACTGTTTGAAAAAACTTGTTCGAAACAAAAAATGACTGAATAGGAAATCAATTGAGCATAACATTAGACCGCAAACTATGTTTTTCTGTTTTTTCTGTCTTTCAATAATGCAAGAAAATAACTGTAATTTGGCAACTTAATTTTTTTAAAGTGCTTTACTATTTTCTACTTTCTAAAGGTAATTTGAAACTTCATGGAGAACAATAATTATTTAATTTTGGTGTTTAAAATATTTCCATTAAATCGCTTGTGTAAACTGGTGGATTAACCATTACAGAAATGTAAAAGCCGATTTTGGTCATTACCAATATTGTTAATGTGGGGCAGCTGTGGCATAAACCTTACACTGGGTCGTCTACTAAGTTGGTTAAGCGCTTTCAGTGATTACATTTATTAAATGCTTTCCACAGACATATAGTCATAAAGTGCTGTTCAACAAAATAAGATACAAAAGGAAAAATCGTAGTAAATAATCAAAAATGACAATAAATAACAAAACCATATTTTAAAAACAAAAAACAGGTAAAAAGCAGATCCTAAAAACAGAGAGGTTAAACACAGTCACCTAAACGTAGCTGGAGTGGGAAACTATTCCCAGTCCCCCTAACTACTAAATTCAGAGCTTGTTAGCAAATCCTGCAAAAAGCAAGAATTTGAGAGTCTGGACCATAGCACTTTGTATGGTGTTGAGGTTAGTATGACTACTTGAACTCAAATTCTGAAATCAAGTGGAAGTAGGTGGAAAGTAACACAGGAATAATCTGGGCTTGCTTACTGAAACATATTAGAAGTCTGGCTGCAGCGTTTTGTATTATTTGGATGCGTAATAAAGGTAAATCGGGAAATACGGTAATCTAGTCCCAGTGACACAAATGCAGCTGAAGTGATTATGGCTCGCTATTCAAATGTTGAATCTGAGTAGACTTCGGGCCTCCACTCTGCACTGCACGCTCACTGAGGAAAATTCTGCTTACATGTTAGAAAATAGACTGATACTGAAGCTGTGCAGTCAGGCTCTGATAGTTATCGCGTCAGCCTGTAAAACAGTCCAACCTGTACTTATGAATCAGGGCGCTGAGTTTGGAGAAGTTACTACTGCAAGCTGTGAGTATTCAAACTGCAGCAAATGTTTGATATTTCTCGTCCGATAGATTTTAAACTTGTTTCAATCATTTTTATTTTTTATTTTTTTTAAACGTGATGCTCAAAGGTTTAAAGTGATAAAGAAATGGATGTTCAGTGAAAGATGTGCTGTTACTTGCTTATTACAGGATTTGTTGTGGGCCAAGCAGGGCTGTACCACACTATTGCCATGTTCCTGGTGGCCTACTTCATCATCACAATGACTGTGCTCTCCATCTGTGCAATCTCCACCAATGGAGCTCTAGATGCTGGAGGTGCCTACTGTATCCTTTTATTGCTTAGAAAGGGAAGTGGCCTTTCAAATCACACCTTGTTTATGAATTCATTAACACACTTATTTTTTCCCTCTGATTTGCTTTATTGCTGTATATCCTCTAGCTGCACAGGCATCTCCTTTGTTTCTTTTCAGGTCTTTAGCTGCCTCTTAAAGGGGAAGTATTGAGACCAAGTGTTTGGCGTTTTATATTTAAGAATCTGGCTGCAGTCAAAGGTCTTCTCTTGACTTTGATTGAAAATGTCTTGAGGTTATGTAAGGGAAGACGTGAAGGAGATGTCATTCAAATTCAGGAAAAGATAGCTAAGAGAATGCAGCCACACTAGGCTGCTTAATTGTGTGATGGCAGCAAGTCGTCTTGAGTTGTGCACCTTTTAAAGCGTGTCTTAGCTTTGGTCCATGTGTACTTTCATGCAGGCTAGATAAAAGATGGTTAAAATTCAAATAAAAAAGACACCAGTGTCAAAAGTAAATCAGTATTATTCCTTTGAGCTTTGCTGCTCTCCTACTGGTCCACTCATGTTTTTTATTCTAAATGAAGAAATGATCCCTTGTAAGTCCTTCCCATTTTGGTCACAGATGCTTTCAAAATTAAATAATACATGATAATCCTAAAGCCTGCCAATAATTGATAAATTAGGTTTTAAGCGATGCAATGGCTTACCTTTAAATATTGTTTCAAACTTTATATTCTTAGTAGCCTCTTTATTAGGTACACCCGTTGAACTGCTTACGACAGCAAATAACTGTCCTGCCAATTACTTGGCAGTAACTTAACATGGTTCAGACAACCTGCTGAAGTTTAAAGCGAGCATCAGTATGGGTAACAAAATAGATTTAAGTGAGTTTGAATGTTGCATGTGTGTTGGTGGCAGACAGGCTGGTCTGAGTATTCAAAACCTGCTGCTGCTGGGATTCTTTTATTTTTATTTTTTTTAACACAACCATCTCGAAGGTTTACGGAGGACAAAAAGAACGCAAGATCAGAAAGCGGCAACAATTTGCACTGCCTCACTAAAACTGGACAATCGAAGACTATTTAAATAAGTCCTGGGATGCAATAAAAAATACATCTTTATTAACACGATCAGTTCCAGCAGTCGTAGACCATTAGCTCTTTCTCTTTTCTTGTAATGATGGTCCACTGTATTCTTTCTCAAGAGATTAGAAGTGAAGCATTGAAGAAACTTTCATTCTAATTTAGAGCATTCATCCATGTTCATGACACTTGAACACTTTAGGTCATTTCAGTCCTTTAAGACCCCCCAGGGGAAAACTAATTATTCCACTGCCACCCTCAAGTCAGAAATTCCTCAACTTGGACCACCAGACATGATCAGCCGAGCCCTGGGTCCAGAGTTTGGTGGCAGCATTGGGATCATGTTTTTCTTTGCCAACATTTGCAGTAGTGCTCTCTACATTTTGGGTTTGGTCGAGGCTATTACATCTACCTTCGGGGTCCCAGAAGGTGAAGTCTATTGGGACAAGATGGGACATGTAGATGTTTTGGCTTGTTTATGCACTAACTCTGTTTTACTGTCACTCAGAGGGTGCTGCAGCTGCTGCAGGTCACCATCACATGCTGCCGTCGGGATACTGGTGGTCTCTGCTTTATGGCACCGCCCTGCTTTTCCTGTGTTTCATTGTGTGCCTGGTGAGATTGGAGTTTTTCATTGCCCTTCTTTTAGATACATTCTAAGATTATTGAGATATTTACTGTATTGTATGAGAGCTAAACAAATAAAGAACTGAGGAATTTGAATGTTTTAAA